ATCTGATGGTCTGCTTGTATATGAATCTGCTGATCCCTACAAAGAGAAGGACATTCTTAACAAAATGATGGATAGAATACATAAAGAAGCCAAATATGCAGGAAAAATTATCCAAGGTCAGGCATTTATTTTTAACTTTTATCTATCTTTTATTTATGAAGTTGGCCCTTTTTTTCCTTCTAACAGAATAGCATAGTAACATTCATTTCCTTCCCTCTTTTTCTTTTGAGATAAGTTCAGACACAGAAAATATCTTTTTTCAGCAGTTGCTACTTTTGTTCAAACGTAATTCGAAATGTATTCTAAGTTTTTAAATGTATTCTATATCAGTAATGGTCACAGCACGGCAACCTATCACAGTCCAGATTCTATAAGTCATGATTAATGTTATTACAACTTTATGTAAAGGGACATAAAAATAGCAGCCACTATTTTCATGGATGCATTTGGCAAGCAATCTGACATATGTGAAAATCAGCTTATGCAACAGTTCCTGGAACAGATTTTCTTGTCTAACCTAGGGGTTGCCTGAATAAGATTGAGAACTGGTTTGATAGCATTAGAATAGAGATTATTCTCTGTGGAAAAGTTACAAAGTATTCAACTGAATAAAAACTTAGCACAACTCAATAAAATTCACTTCTCTGAATAAACTATATGACGATGTACACATTTTTGACAAGAATCATGATCTTACGAAAATGTTTATTCAATTTTATCAGTGAATAAATATGCTTATAATTGCAGTCTTAGCTGTAAAAAATAGAGGCACTCCAAATTTTGCCTTTCTTCACATTTGGGCCCCCACTTGGTTCATCAAGGGAAAACTATTCTACGAAATAAGAGACAGTAAGACAATCAGCATTAGAATACATATTGTGCGTACATGTGTTCCCTCCAAAGATGAGTGACAAAGATGAAATTGCCTTTTTTTATAAGCCAGGACTGAGAACCCCTGGCCCATGGGGCTTAATCTGGCCCATGAAGCCTCAAGAAATACCATTCTCTTTCCTCTGATACTTTGCCCTTTCTCCAAGCCTTTTCTATTGCTAACAGCAAGCGTGTACATTCCCTCCACATGCCTCAGTCATGGGAGACAACATAGTAATCAAGGAGATGCTGACATTGCTCAGGGCCCCTTTGCACTCCACTGCCATTATTTAGGGTGGCCTCTTCAGAAAGGAGGGCATAGGCAGGGGGCAGCAGTAGTGGCAGTTCCTCTTAGCAAGCCTGGCCAGGAGAGAAGCATTACTTCTGGATGCAGAGAAGGGTGGAACACCATCTCTAACCAAGTGGCAGGAACAAGGATATGTTCTTGCGGTCTGCCAGTTGAACTCTGCTGTTTGGGGCTGATGTGGCAAAGCTGCCGCATTCTCCAAAGGCTTCTCCATCCTGGATTCTCCCTTGTCTGTCACCCAAGAGCTGCGCTCAGGTGAACAGCCCTGGCCTATCCCTTTGAGTTTCGCTCCCTCCCCGGTGCATCCCAAAAGAGATGGTCCCAGGTCCTGCCCTAGGGTGGCCACTTTCCACCCATCAGCCATTCTAGGTAGGCCAGGTCAGGAAATGGCCTCCCCAAGAAATACTGGAACTCTCCTTTATTGATCCAGACTATAGTAACAGAACCTTGAAAGCTTTGCATTGTTTCTCTTTCTCTCCCTCTTCTACCAAAGAGAGTCAAGGTGGGGCAACTTCCTTCCTCAAACTGTCTTTTTTTCCCAAGACTGAGGTTATGTTTTGCTAATGGTCTCCACATACCTTCTCCAAGATCATCTCTGTGGTTCTTTACTACACCATCCATCTATGAGAGAGGTGAGGCTTTAGTTTAAATCCTGACTGAAAATCCCATGCTTTCCCATTAATTATAATTGGAAAATACCAAACAATAATTGCTTATTTTCTATGTGACATAATGTATGTTTTAGTTTCCATTAAAATATGAGCTAAATTTGTAGGAATTGAATTTTCTTATGAGAAGGGGACACATGCCAAATTGAAGAGCAACATTACTATTTTTTCTTTGCGAAGTTTCTCATGATTAAGCTCAAGGATTTTATGTTGTTATTCAAAGACAATCAAATTAAATTTGTTCTGGTTAATGAAAAACACTGCTAGATAAGTGGCCAAAATGAAATGCTGAAAGAGTAGCTTCATTTTGCAGTAACTCTTTTTAATTCAATACATTTGTATGATGGCAAACCATGATACATTTTATTAATTTGTGAATCACTGGAGACTTTTGTATTAGGCCCATGAGGCAATCTAAGATCCCGGGTTTCAGAGTTGAAACTACTGAGGCAGAATCCCTGATTCTCACATCAGAGAAAGCCGTTTTACAACCAAGGGACAGATGCTAGAAACCTTCAAGGCCAGGGAACAAACTGTTGATTTATGGCTGTTGACTTGAAAAGTCGGGGGGAAGAGGCCCAGGATTTAAGTCTGGAGACTAACTAACTAGAGGGCAGGATTCCAGGGTGTTGTTAGAGAGCTTCTTCTTAATGTCTGGCTTCCTAATTCTCTGCAATAAATCAACTTATCAAAAATTCTCAAGTCTGCTTAAGAATGCAGAGTGGGGAGAGAGTTTAATCACGCCTACTTCAAGAAATCTACAATGCACCTCCCTTGTTATAATTTTCATTCTAGGCAAAGTCGTTTTTTATTTGTTTTATCTCTGCTGCATTCTAATCTTATAGTGCTTTTTCCTGTTTCTGTGACATTTATCCGCTATTTAACTGATGCTGTTTTATCAGTTCTTTTAGTTTAATTGATTTTATTTTATCATCGAGTATCACCATGGAGTGCTCTTGGGCAGCTCATATATTTTTGAAACAAACAAATTGGTCTGGGGCTGGTTCGTTTATTTTTTGTGGAGAGACAGGGAATCCCTAGATCAGTCTTTCTACACAGATTGATTCTGGCTCTCACAAGTTTCAAAGAGGAATCTCTTCCAGCTCTACCTAGAAATGCTTGGGGCTGAACATGGGACCTTTCTATGCAAAGCATGTGCTCTAGAGCCAGCTATAGCTCTTTAGCCATTGACAGTGCTATGTAAATAAATCACAATCACCATCTTCCTCCCCACTGTCCCATGGTTATCTTAGAAATGGTGCTGCATTTGCATTGCTGCAAAGTTTTATGGGGGAGCTTCAAAAACAAAAAAGAGAGATTGGCCTGACCACCTTTCTCTTGCTGGCCATCAGCAATAGCACACTATAGTGATGACAGAAATATTGTCATGAGCAGAATCTTCACCTCATTATTTCCCATTCAGTTTGAACTTACAATTGAGTCAGATTTTTCTAACTTTCCTCACTAATTTAAGGCTTTATCAGATATATGTGGAGCAAATGGTTTTTTTATAGCTACAATTACAATATTATCATCTTGTACCACAATAAGAGTTGTTTGTCTATTACAAATCATAATCCTAGCCAGCAACTGCTAAGCATGTGAAAGGGGCATTTTATAGCAAAAAGTATGAATATAACAACATACAATCCAAGGACTGTAATAGCCACCATGTAGGAAAGCTTAGGAAGGAGGGACTGTCTCATCTTGACGCTCTTTAGTATAAGAAGGAGGAGAGAAAAATCTCTGTCAGGCTTTCAGGATTTAATACCAGCCCTTTGAAGTAGGCCAGGTCAGGAAATAGACTCTACTAGGACCACTAGAATTCTATGTTATTGTTGAAGGATATTAGAATTTTAAAAACCTGACCAAGATGCTCTCTCCTCTCTCTTATACCAAAGAGAATCAAGGCAGGACAATCTTGAGGTTCTTTCTCACTCCCTCTTCCCTTTCAGGGCTAAGCCGTTGAAATTCTTCTTCAAGGCTGTTCTAATCTTCTTTTATGGTTCTCTACAGTTATGAAGGGATTCTGTCTGAGTCTGTTCTGCCCCATCCAGACTCTGACAGCCTCCAGGTACTGAGACAACCCTTGCACTGCATCACCAGTTTGGGCCAGCATCAAGAATATAACTGGGTATCATCAGCATACTGATGATACCGGACTGGTACCAATGGATGACCTCTCCCAGCAGTTTCATGCAGATTTTTAAAATAAGTAAGTGGAGAGAGGAGGGAGCCCTGAGATTGAGGAAAGCAGAGGAACATGAAGCCTTAAAAAAGGTCAAGCTTAACAGGTCAATGTTAACATGAGGCTTTAGAAAAGGTCAGGATTATTTAATCACAGATCTTGCCAGTCTTCTAAAGACCTCAGTGGAGCACAGACAACACTTGGACAACAGCTCTTTAAGCACCTAGCCATGCTTCTGCAGTCACTGAGACTGTCAGAGGCCTGATCTATTCTTGCATCCTCTACTTTTTATGATTAATCATAGTCAGCTTTCTTGGGTTCTCAGCCAAACCAGAATAGGCTAATATGTGCAACCAGCAGCAGCCAAAAACCAAAAACCAAAAAAACCCCCGACAGTTGGCAAGCTCTGCTGCTGATGCCTGTCATTTTAACCCCCTTGGGATCTTTATGGGGTTCCAATGGCTGACCTGCCTGCCATCCCTCCATCCATCCACGGCTGCTAGTTTTTCCCTTCCTGCCTCAGAATGGTGGAAGAAGAAGTAAAGTGAGCAGCAGCGGCTCTGCCCAGGAAGGGAAGGCAGAAGGAATTGAGAGGTCTTGAATCATCCATTGTCTGAGC